CTTCACTCCTCTCCTCAACCACCCTGATCTTAGCCCTTTCTGAATTTATATTCAGTTGAGATGCTGCTCAGTTTTCTTCTTGTTAACAGGGGCTTGTTTAGCCAAGGTCAGAAAATTACTCTACAAAACACAAATGCAAAGCCTCCTGAAAAGGGCTAAAAGGGCTTAGCAGCTCCAGAGGAGTACTGTTGATTCAAGAAACAGGCAGGAAACATGCCTACAGACATCCTGACTTTGGATTAAGGTCATTAAAATGGAGTATTTATTAGAGTTTTAGAGACTTCCAGTTAGGTGACAGTGATCAAGAAAATTATATGAACACAGTTTTTCTTCTGACCTTGAATTGTGGTTAAACACATCTGTTACAATGTCTTGAACAGATGGCCAGAGTCAGCCTCTCCCAGAAAACATCTGGGCATTTGCCCATTTACCTAGAAGATAACTAACATGTTTCCATATGGAAGGAAGCAGAGGACACAAGCTGAAAAATCCACATCCTCCCAGCTCTTTTATCTACTAATATCACTTAGCGCATCATGAATCCTTACGGCCCCAGCCCTGGAATTCTGCGTAGTGGCCTGGACTTCTGGGACTCTTCATGACAGAGGCTGGTCTGAAGGTGAGTGGACATGGTTTCCTAGTGTTATTTGTATATTTCTTCAGCACTAACTACTGCTAACACAGGGCTCCTCTTCCAACCTAGAAATCTTATATCCCCAGCCCATATGTAAATGTGGAATTGCAAATCTACCAGTTGTAGTAGACCCAAAAACTTCTTTCATGTCAGAGAAAAGGAAACAATGACTTCCCTCCACCTGGCAGTTATTAGCAGCATTGACAGGCAGCACATGACAGAAATCACAACAATCCTACAAATGCTATAAATCCACAACTTTGAAGTAAAACATCAAGCTGAGCCAGGACTTCAAAACCAAAATTAACATTCTAAAATTGTCCATGCACTGCTTTTATACTACAATGCCTGGGAAAGGATGTTTTTAACAAGATGACTAGAAATGAATTGTACCTTTTCAAGCTCTCCAACAGTGGAACAGGAAATCTCTGCTTCAGTGTGATTTGACATCTTATGGTAGGGATGAAGGAAAGGATCAGAATTTCAAGGTGAGAACTCACCTTTGAGTTTCCCAAATGTCAGAATAAAGGAAGGGGTTGAGAAACCCACAGAATGTCAAGAGTAGAATTGACCTTAGAGATCTTCTTGTCCTGCTCCTTTAGTTTAGAGATGAGGAAAATGAAGCCCAGAGCAGTTTATCAAGATCATCAAAAATCCTGGTTAGAAAAATGTGGATGGAATGTAAGTTCCTTCAGGGCCGGGAGTGTTTGATCTCTTCATGTGCATTCTGAGTGCCCAGCCCAGCACATAACTGCTTGTTGACTGAATGACTGGTATGAGAAAACTGATTAATACTTTTGACCATCCAAGGAAGTAATTAAAAAGATGAAAATTATGTATCTCAGTGCAGACAAGGCCCAAATTGTCCTTTGGTTCTTAGCTACAGCTTCTATTTGCAGAGCATGCCTCTCTGACTCACAGTTTTCCTCAAACTTTTGTTCAGGAGCTACCTACCACTGGCTAGCCATGTTACATTCCTTCACCTCTCTGGGTCTCAGTTTCCACATCTGTCAGATGGCAATGGGGTTAAAATGGAAAGATGTCTAAGATTCTTTCTAGCTCTAATATTAAATGATCCTAAAAATTGCATTTTGGTATCCCTGTAAAAAGTGATTATCGTATTTAAGTTCACCACACAGCAATTCATTATGTATCCAGCTCTTTCCTTTTTGACCCTGGCTGGCTAATCAGAAACTAATATATTTGGGGGGATCCGTTTATTATACTGGGTCCTCCTTGGATCCTACTACAGAAATTTAGTTAAACTTCCAAAGTCTACCCATTTCTTCCTCAAGATTTGAAACTGATGAATGAAAAGTTTAACTATTACATAAATGCTCACATTCACCATTTAAGCTCAAATTCAGTGGCAGACTCAAGTGACTTCAGAAATAATGAGGGGAGGGAGCAGCTAGGTGTGCAGTGAAGTCAAGAGGACCTGAATTCAAACCTGGCCTCAGACACTTGACACTTAGCAGCTGTGTGACCCTGACCTAGTCACTTAACCCCAATTGAAGAAAGAAAGAAGGAAAGAAGGAAAGAAGGAAGAAAGAAGAAAGAAAGAAAGAAAGAAAGAAAGAAAGAAAGAAGAAAGAAAGAAAGAAAGAAGAAAGAAAGAAAAGAAAGAAAGAAGAAAGAAAGAAAGAAAGAAGAAAAAAGAGAAGGAAGGAAGGAAGGAAGGAAGGAAGGAAGGAAGGAAGGAAGGAAGGAAGGAAGGAAGGAAGGAAGAAAGGAAGAAAGGAAGAAAGAAGAAAGAAAGAAAGAAAGAAGAAAGAAAGAAAGAAAGAAAGAAAGAAAGAAAGAAAGAAAGAAAGAAAGAAAAGAAAGAAAGAAAGAAAGAAAGAAAGAAAGAAAGAAAGAGAAAAGAGCTAGTGTCTATCTCTGGAAGTTCAGTGTTTCTTTGCGTTCCAGCAATGACAAAGATAGCAAAGCAGAATTAGCTAATCATATGTTCAACCTTTAGTCACTGGAGCTACATGACTATTTTAAATTATTAAAATACCAAACTGAATAGCATTTACTGAAGAAGGGGTGGAATAATGCTGCAAAAAATACATCTCCACTGTGTGTGTGTACGTTCCTTTAATGTGTTTAGCAATATACAACTCCCATTCCTTTACCTCAGAGAAAACACTGCACAGGCTTTGAATTACTCATGTTAGCCCTTCTTAAAATCTCACATTTCACTATAAAATACTTAAGTGATCTACAATACAAGCTGAGATTCTTCAAAATAAAGCTGCCTAACTAAAAATTTTCAATTGACTTCAAGTGATTTGCAAAGATGTATCCTAATTTACACAAAAGGCATGAGTATTAACAGTGCTTTTCACAGTTCAGTAGTTTTGAAAAACTAGTCTGCAAGTTTTCCCAGAGAACACTGAAGACATCTTTTGGCTATTAGCTATGTTTACATACTGATATCATGGACTATCTACTTTTAAATAATGGCTCCTTATTTTGTAATAACATGATAATCTAACAGGGATAAAAAAAATAAAACCTCCAAAGTCCCTTTTAATTTTTAAGAGTATTTTGTTTGAACTTCTGTTACTACAATCAGTTCTTAAATTATTTTGCATTTGAGTTGATTTTGGGTACATGGCCCTCCATAATTAAAATATTTAATTATTTTAGTTTTATAAAAATTAATCTGATGACATTTAAATAGATTCTATTACAATGCACGCCCATGTTAACATAATATTTGCTGAAGCTAATTATAAAGGACACCTATCCAAAATAAATTCCCTGAACATCTCTGCAGTCTAAGGGTTGAATACTTTGAGACAAGAAAATATCAAACAGAATTGTCATGTTTTCCATGAAGCTACAAAGACTAAATGGAAAACATGGCTTGTGCCATACTTCAAATATATAGGTTTGTTGTCTGTTGTAAGTTACTATAAATAAAAAGGGAATTATTGTGTTAATAATATAGGGCACTAATAGCACATATGAGTTGAGTTTTTGGTGGGAGTATTTATTCTAATCAAAACTGCTAATGTAAACAGTTTGAAAGTATTGCCTGTGAAAGACTTATTGCAAGTGGCAAAATCCACTAAGAAAAAGCTTGTGTTATGAGGGCAGTACTTTATTAAGAACTCTTATCAACACAATGTTTTTAATGTGCTGTTTCTCCTTATTGCTGCAGGGATGCCCATAAATACTGTAAATAGCTATCATTCCACATATAACTAATGGTACTAGACAAACAATGGAGCTTCATTTAGAGAACATTGAAACTAGCACATAAACTAGTGAGGACAGGCATGTAAATTCAATTTCTCATTAGGTAAGACCACCACCTCATTCAGTCGTGGATGGCTAGCTACAACACAGTTCTAACTTCTGGCAGCCAAGAAGAGCTCATTAAGTCAGTCTAGCATTAGAACTTAGGTCAATAAACCAGGTGTTAGTTGAGCAGGACAGATGTGTTACACTGGGGCTCCATTTAACAGATTTCACTTGCTAGACTGGGTTTCATCACCATTCACTGTCAAGTTGTTGCCTCCAGAAAACAACCTTTAAATTTCTTTTTGTTCCTGGTCTTCAAAGAGAATCCAACATATCTAATTGCTAATGGCAGAGCTAAATAGTAGCTGTAACCTAGCTACTGTAAAAAGTCTGCCTTTGGACACCTATTACAAATGGTTTTTTCAACTTCTGCACACAAGCCAACTAAATGATTGGCACTTCAAAATAATCTACAGAACATATTGTTTTTTAAAAAGTAGTTGCCCTCCAATGAAAAAAAAATACGTATTTTAGCTAGGGCTGGCAAAAATTAGGCATTTCAGTGCATCATGGAAAACCAGAGCTTTTTCACACTGGGGAGAGGGAAAGAGGGAAGCACGGTTTTAAAAATACTGAGAATAATTAAAGTGCATATATTATCAGCCTGACAAATCTTGTCAGCCAAGGCCTCTAAAACTTGAGGGCAGCAAAAATAGGAAACATTGCCGTTAAAAAAAATACTTCTCTATGGGAGCATTCATACAAAAATAGGTGAGCTATACAGTTCCAAGTGTGGAGGTGTAGAGGTAAAGACTCTTGGGCATTTAACAGTTCATATTGGAAGAAATTAATAGATGTGTCTACGTGCAAACCAACCCTCGAGATTCCCTGGACAGATGTCACCCTCAGCTTTAGGGAACCTCATAAAGGATCTGTAGGCAAGGCCCTCTTTTCCTATGATTTATTATTGTTAGAGTTTCTTCTTTTCTCTGGGCCGCTGTAAGCCATAGTTTCTGAGGAATAAGGCAGATGCAACGTCCTCTGGTTAAAACAACTTTCCAGTGTCACGCTTTACAGGGCATCCCTTTCCCAAGGCTCCTCTTCCCCTTTCTCGCCATTTCTGGCAGTATTCCTGGAGACTCTGCATCAATCCCATAACAAGCAGCAGCGGCACAGCTTTCGAAGTTTCTTTACGCTCCCCTTCTCTTTCCTCCTTCCCTCCTCAAAAAAAAAAATCCCAAGGAGTTTATAGGTGAGAAATGGGATCACCCGGCAAATTTCCCACAATCCCCCGCCGAGTTTGCAAGTCGCCAAAAGAGACCCAAAGTTTCCTGAGCTTGTCCCTGCCTCCTTCCCTAGCTACCTCTCCCCAGTCCCCCCCACCCCCAAGTCTCCAGGTCTGACCACTAGACAAATGTTTGCATGTGGGAGGAAGAGGAAAGGTATTGAGATCCGCGGTTCAATGAGGACCCTCGAGGCTGCCCTCGGGAGGCACCTGCGTGGGATGCGGCAGCTGGCAGAGCAGGGTGTAGTTGGCTCCGCTGTTGTTGTCCCAGAACTCACCCTGCGCGCAGCGGTAACAGACAGCGAAGTGCACGGCGAAGCCTTGCTGCTCCTCCTCCTTCTCCCCTAGCAGTCCAGGAGGCAAATACAGGGAAAAGTGAAAGCGCTCGGTGTCTGGCTCGCCCGGGTCACCAGCCCCCTCCTCAGATCTCCCAGTCCCTAGGTCTAGGTAAGTTCGCCCGGGTTGCTCCTCTTGCCCCTGCGTTTCCAGCTGTGCTGGCTGGCCGGGCTGTAGCGTAGCGGGCAAGTCCAAGAAGGAATGCCATTCGGTGAAGGTGTAGCGCACGGTCACCTCCCGGGGCCCAGCGCAGCGTAACACCCGGCCGGAGCCCTTCACCTCGTAGGCAGGAGGCGCTCCGCAGTCTACCTGCTCCAGGCACACTCGCTGCAGAAGGAGGCGCTCGGAGGTAGCGCCACCGGGCCCGGGCAGCTCGAAGAGAGGCTGCAGGCTGGGCAGCTGCGGCGCTAGAGCGGGAGTGGGGCGGCTCCCCTCCGGCAAGAGCGGGGAGAAGGCCGCGGCCAGCAGGTCCCCAATCTGCTCTAGGTCCCGCTCCCGCATGGGAAAGCTCTTAAGGCGGTTGAGCACGGCGGGGGGCACCTGCGGCTCCTCGGCCGCGCTGAAGTGCTTCACGCTAGCCAGGCTGAGCCCCAGAGAATCGGCGAACTGCACCCGCTTCTTGCACTTGGTGCAACAGGCGCCGGGGCTCAGCAGCTCCTCCTCTTGGTCCGTCTCGTCCCACTCGGCGCCGGGATCCTCGGGCTGAGGCTTCAGCCTCTGCTGCTGCTGCTGCTGCTGCAGTAACTTCGCTGCTTCTAGGATAGGGCTCGGAGGAAGCGAGAAGGAGCGGGCGCGGCAGCAGCGGCGGGCATCCAGCAGCTTCTGCTCCAAGAGGCTGGCATCTCTTTTGGGGAGTTGGGGGCTGCCCCTAGGCAGAGAGGGAGGGCTTCGAGCCGGGGAGTCCGGGCAATTGTGGCAGTTTCCGCCGCCGCTCCCTCCCAGCCGTAGGGTCGCTGGATCGGGGCTCTCCTCAACTGGTGGCAGATCTTCGTAGGTATTGACCCCGAAAGATCCAAACTCAGGATCTGAGGAGCCTGGGTCTCCATAGGATCACTGGGACCCGACTGGGCCCCTGTAGGATTGCTGGATGGGGCAGCTTCTTTCCTCCAGTCTCTCGTGAACTCTGGGGCTTCTTGGCCAGCCTCGGGATTTTATTACCTACTTGCACGTGTAGAGAGAGAAAAGCTCTCCCCGTCTTGACTCTCCCCAACCCCGAAATCTGCTTGAGGCCGAGAGCTGTTCCGCTGCAGAGTCTCCGGGTTTTAGCTGAGGCTGACAAAGGAAAGGGGGGGAAAAGCAGGGGTGGGAGGAGGAAACCAACGGAAGGATAGCCCTTCTATGGATCCAGTACTGGAATCGAACCTGTGATGGGCTGTGGGAGGGACCTAATTGCTGGGAAGGGGAGACTTCACCATTGCTCTACCTGGGGGCACTCCCAGGGCAAGGTTTTCTGGGATGGGTTCAACTCACATGGCTTCATTTGGATACTTCAAAGCATGTACGCAGTTTAGAAGGGGTTGGGGGGCGGGGCTGTGGAATAACCCCGAGATAAGAGAGAGAATAAAATTACTTGGCAGCAAATTTACCTGATTTTCCTCGAGTACCCACGTCAATCTTATTAGTTCTGCGACCTGGGCAAGTATCGGCCTCTCTGAAGTTGTTCACTTCTCTGTAGCATAAAGATAACTTACTGCATCTCTTCCTGTGAGTATTGTGCGACCAAATAAGATACTGTGTGTAAAGCGCTTTACAAATCTTGAAGGGCTGCATAAAAAATGAACTATGATTGCCTGAGGGTAGAGTAATTTATGCCATTGTCACTTCCCCCAGGATTGCATCTGGCTTTATAAAGTGAATGAAGAATTTCGCAGATTAACTACAGCAGTCAAAACGCACACATCGCTTTGCTGTTACCTCTTGCAATTTTTCTCCTCCAAATGGAAACCCAATCTGGGCACGGGAAACATTCAGAAAATCCATTCTGAATATACATCTCCAGTCCAAAACCGTAAACAAATGAAAACGTCGTCAAAGAGGAAGCATAGGCTCAGGTCCGTGGGGTCAGTGCATTTTTTGATGGTATTGATTTTGATGGATAGATAAGTACTTTCCTAGAAAATCTGGACGTTTTGGGGCCCTATCCCCAGCCGAAACTACCTATCCCTCCACTTTCTTCTTTCCTAGTTGTTCCAAAACCCCGGAGGCGCTGAGTGAGCTATGTACCCAACAGAAAGTAATTGGGATTCCAGCAGAAGGAAAACTAGTCGGAGAGCTGAGTCTCTCTTTAAGAGAGCGCTGGCGGTGCAGATGATATTTAGGAAGGGAGGAAGACACGTCTTCCTTTTCGGCTACCGGAGATGACAGGCACTAGGGAGTATGGAGGTAAAAGAAAGGCCGAAATTGGAACTCTCCGGGGAAGCCGAGCTGGAAAGGGGTGTGTAAACCGAGCAGGGGGTGTGTCTGGGGGAAGGCGGAGACCTCTAAAAGCAGAGGAAGTACAGTAAGACATTGACCACCGACTTCAGTGCACGTACCTACCCTCCTCCCTTTCCCTTCTAGTCCCGGCTGTGCGAAAGCACACAACCCGGACCAAACACGTTTCCAGGTTCTTGAGTAGGGCTCTAGTCAGTAGCCGAACTTCTAGAGCAATGCACAAACTGCCCTGTGGTGGAGGTCGAGAGCCCAGAGAAGAGAAGCAGGGCTGGGGGGAGGGGACGGGAAAGAGGTCTGTGTGCAAAGGATGGCCTGGGCTGGGGAGTTGCTTCTCCAGCTAGACACAACCCATCTTCCTGGGCGCCTTTTCATTCTGGCATCTTTGCAAAGTACATGCACTCAGACAGCCATATTTCGTGACGTAGCGGAGCCTTATCAACCTCCCCTGGCAAGGACAATTTGTGGCGCCAAGAAGGAAGTAGGAGGGCTAGAAGGAGGCCGCCCCCTTCTCCCCTATTCCTCACCGCCGCACCTCCATGTTTAGTTTACTTTGGTCTCCATTTCAACTGGAGGACCTGGGCAGTCTTTAAACACGCGAAGGGGATGATGTATGGTTGGATCTCATTTGGTTAAAGAGAGAAACTGCTAACGAATGTAGATGTGGGGGAAAAGATGGGAGGAAGGCAAGATATTTTCTGATAAATATTTCTCAACAAAAATTCAAACAACTCTGTACCAAAATTATCTTAACTCGGGCAACTTTTCCATTCCTAGGGGTAAAATAGAGCTAGGGATTAGGAGCAAGAAGATTAAAGGGGTGGGTGACTGAATTGTACAGTAGAGAGGACTAGAAGAGATACACCAGAGTATCCCCATCCCACCCCCCACCTTATTCTTAGGCAGGAGTCAAAGAATTCAGAGGGAACTATCTGACCCCAGTGGATGGTTTAGCTGGAATTTGTTCTAGCTCTTTCCAGATATAACTAATGATTTGCGTGAGGGCCCTCACGTTTTCCCAGAACATTTTGTCAGGCTCCTTCCTTTGCTACTATGCTCTCACTTCACCTTCTGTATAAATTGCCTTCGAATACCAGAGGGAGTTAATTAAAAAGCTCCCCTCAGCTTCCTCTCATCTTGATGAGCTTAATGAGAGAAAAGCTTTGGAGACTTTTATTGTAAAGGGATGAACAGAGGCCTTCAAGCCACTTGTATAATTTACCAGACAGCAGGCTTTTTTTTTTTTAGTAAATTCTTCTGATCTACATCGTATTCTTAAGGGGAGGGGAGGGGAGGGGAGTAGGAAGGTATGAAAAGGGTAGCCAGGGATGGATACAGTGTGGTAAGAGAGAACCATGTCTCACTGAGTGTCAGAAGATGAAAGGAGTAAAATAGGAAATGGTGCAACAGAAATATGTTAGTATTGAGCAGTCTGCCCAGAAGGCACAATAGAAGGAGCAGGCATTATCTGGAGTGGGCCATTGGAGGAGGTGGGAACAGAATAAGTCTAAGAGGAGTGGAAATGAAAGAGCAGACAGCTGAAGTTGAGAAGATAAGTTTGTTTGGGGGTACATCGGAGGGTCGGAGTATACTAACTACTGGGGAATAATGAATAGAAGCAAACTAACAGTGAGGTCTTCTTGAAAAAGGCTCAGTGTTCATTTAGTTCTGTATATATCTTGCATGTACATAGTTATTGGTATGTTGTCCATTCTATCAGACTATGAGCTCCTTGGCAATTTGCTGACTGACTCTCTAGGCTCTGGCTGCCTTCCCTGCATTATTGTGTCCTCTAACACAGGAGGTGCTGTGTTTCCGACCAGGAAGCTGAGGTGCCCTGTATACCTGTTGAAATCAGAAAGTCACATGTCCTGTTCAGAAATTTAGAGAGGTGGTTAATTGGTCCTGCCTCTACTGCAACTGCCTTTGAGGAAGGCCTGACTGGCACTGTGCCCACAGAAGTCTCAAATTTAGCTTACACAAAACAGAATGAATTATCTTTTATCACAAACACACTTTTTCCTAACTTCTTTTTTTTTCTGATCACTATTCTTCCAATCACACAGGTTCAAAATCTGTCATCCTTGTCTCCTGACCCTTCCATATCCAATCTGTTGTCAGGTTATCAGTTCTAGGTGCAGCCAGGGGGCACAGTGCTAGAGTTAGTAAGACCTGAGTTCAAATCTGGCCTCAGACACTTACTAGCTGTGTGACCCTGGGCAAGTCACTTAACCTCTGTTTTCCTTACTTCACTGGAGAAGGAAATGGCAAACTACTCCAGTATCTTTACCAAGAAAATCTCATGGATAGTATTGGCACGTCCACAGGGTCAAGAAGAATCAGACATGATTGAACCAACTGAACAACAATAATAAACCTTAGGCAAGTCACTTAACCTCAGATTGCCTCAGTTTCCTCAATTGTAAAATGGGGAAAATAACAGCACCTTCCTTGCAGAGTTGTACTGAGTATTAAATGAGATCATATTTGTAAAGTACAATGCCTGGCAGATAGCAGGCTCTACATAAATGCTAGCAAACATTAATTAACTCTGCAGCACAGCATCTCTCAAATCTGTCACCATCTCTCTACTTACACAGCTACCACCCTAATACAAGCCATCACCTTTTGCCTGAAATAGTTTCCTTGTTTCCTTATATCCAGACTCTTGTCTGGATCAGGCCATCTGACACATAATTGTCTAACTGATATTCCTAAATTACGCGTTATTCACCTGCTCAAAAAGCTCCAGTGACTCTCTATGCCTCTAGGACATAATATAAATTCACCTGATTGTCATGGAAAGCCAAACAATCTGGGTCCAACCATCTTTCCAGGCTGATTACACATTACTCTCCCTCAAGTACTTTCCATTCCCAGCAAACTGACCTTCTTGCTTTTCCTCATTAACAATGTTCCACTTCTCATCGCCATACTTTTGTATAGAGTGCTCCATCCCCCCCCTGCCTGAATGTGCTTCTTCCTTTCCGCTTTCAGAACTCCTAGATTCAGACTCAACTCAAGGCCTGTCTCCTTTCTTGATGGTCCAAATTGTTCATCTCCTACCCTGAAATTGCATTGCATTTATTTTGTCTATAGCTCTCTGTTTACATGCCATTTCTCCGGTAGAATGTAGTAGAACCCTGAGGGCAGTACTGTTTTCTTTTTATATCTATATTCACAGTACCTAGCACAGTGCCTGGCATAGAGCAGGTGCTTAATAAATGCTTGTGGAATTTAACTTACCCATTAGTGTCACCTCAGCACCTCTTAGCGAATGATGAAAACTGCCCCCCAGATGAGTTGCCTGACTCAGACTCTTTTTGAAACTATTGGAAGAGCAGCTGACTCTGCTGAGCTATAAAAGAGAACTAAAAGATCAGTTTGGGCCTTTTGCACCAAGTGTAGCAGGTGTTTGGGTGGACTGAGGTGGAGTGGTGACTGCTGCTGTAGACATGCACGGTGAGCTCTGGGCACTTGCCCACATGGCCTAGGGATAATACCAGCATTGAGGTTTGCCTTTCAGGTAACCCCATGTTCAACAGTCCTGGAATATGGCCTTCTAGCCAGAAAAGAAAAATCCAAGCAATATGATCCCAGTATGATTTGACCTACTAGCACATGAAGGGAGATTTCTTAGGGAGTGCAGCCCTGGGGGTTTCATTCTCATTATCCCAAGTTCTAAGGTAACCCAAGGATATGTTTTGATATTTCTGTATTAAAATTAGTAGCATCTTCCTTATTAATTAAATAATTAGCTATGATTTTCTTATCCTAGATTATTGAATATTAGTTATTTAATAAACTGAAAAAAAGCTTTCCATACAAGCAGTTGCTCATTTATAACATTTTAACTCTGAGAAAGATCAAAACCAGAGTCCCATCTATATACCACTTTTACTCTTGACTTCTCTTCACTTTTGGAACACAATCCCACCACTTAGCTCTTAAGATTACAGCCAAAGTCTCTCAAGAATCCTCTTACTTATTTGATGTATAAGGGTTAAAATCAATTCTCTCAAGGAACAAGGTTTTTTTTCTCTTTTCACTATCACTCTCCAAACATGACAGATAATTCTTCAGAATGACAGTTAAAACTCTTCAGTCTCCTCAAACACTCTTCAAGGAATTCTCTTTATGATGTTTCTTCACAATCTGGTAGATAAACTATTTCTCTTTCACAAAGAAATTTTCTTCATCCTATTAACTCTCCTCAGTTTCTCCTTACCTCCTCACAGCCTTTTTGTAGATCACTCCATTGACTCCTCAAGGAAGGGTAGTTAAAACATCACTCTTAAAGATTCCAAAGCTTCTTAAAGGTGCCCTCACAATAACAGTACTTCCTTGGAGACAGGCTATTGAAGCTGAGGGAATAATGGTATTGTAACACTTAAAACAATGGTTTTGATACAAGTCTTCTACAATGAGGTAGATGGTTATTGAGAGCTGCTGACTAAAAAATTGCTCTTCAAGTCATAAATCTGGTGATTAATTTCCCTGAACATAGCTAGGCTAGCACATGACCAAGAGACATATAGGTAATCACCAGGCCCACGTTTAAAAACTTTCTAGTTTGTTCAGACTTGCCAGAGCTTATGCTCTCCTACCATAGTTAGCCTTTGAGAAACCAAGGTCCTCTCCTTGAAATAAAGGCATCAGAATAAGACTTGAGCTAGAGATCTCACTAGATTATATCTGATTTCATAATACTGAAGGAAATAAGTATTTCCCTCATTTCATGGGCTGTAGTGATGGTAGAAGAAGGGAGAGAAGGAGGGGGCAGAGATTTCTGAGAATCACCTTGTTTTTCAATATTTATAAACATGAACTTCAGGTGCAGCATGGCATGGTGCATAGAGAGTGGCCTGGAAGCCAAGAAGATCTAGGTTTAAGATCTTCCTCTCACACATTGTGGCTGTGTGACCCTGGGCAAGTCAATGTTCCAGTACCTCTCTAAGACTCTTAAGTT